AAAAAAAATGTTTAAAAATAAAATACAAAAAAAAGTAAATGTTACAAACCTGTTTGAGCATAACGTGATTCATGTGTGGGGCAATAAAAAATCACACCCATTTCAAAATGTGAAAGGGGTTTTTCAGTACATGCAAGGTGATAACTTTTTGCACATTTTGGATCAAAACATCCAATTGTTGCTCCTCTTTCTTTACATTTTGCACATTTCTAAAAATATAAATTAAATAAATTTTTTTAAAAAAAACCACTGTCATATATATATAAACTGTAACTAGTGTTTAATAACATACCATACTTCTGCCTCTTTTCCAAGCTATAGTGATATTATACCATTCATTATTCTTGGTAACATAAACTTCAGGTGAATATTTTGCACAAGCATAATGTGACCAAAATCTTTTTTGTCTTTCACCATGTCGTGTATAAATATTTGCAATAAATGGATAAGGACCAATGAAGTTGCCTAGCTGATTAGGATCATCATCATTACAGAAACAACATATCTTACGTGAGCTCCAAGCTTTAAGGTAAAGATATCCCATATCATTCTCAATTGGTATGTTGCTATTTAATATTTCAAGATTTTCTTCAGTGTAAGTTGTGTCACAAGTATCCTTATCAAATGTTGAAATTACTTCTCCCTTTGATGACATTTTAATAGCATCATCATCTATGATTGACTGTACTGCAAAGGAACAACGAGGATGTTCATGATAATTTGGAAATTGATGCCCATAGCACCTAACAAATAAATTATTAATTAGTAAATATTACAATAATAATTAATAAATTTATTGATTAAAAAAGTTATGCTAACCATGCACAAAGTTCAAAACTCCTATAATCATTTCCTTCAGAAGGTGATTCACAATAAGTGCAGTAATATCTATTGGAGAGCATAGTTTTTATAAATAACAAATAACACAAAGTTTGGCAATTTTAATATATATTTACCTGAATTGTTTAATTATTACATTACATTGATTACAATATATACACCATTTATCATTATCTACAAAATTATAAAAAAGTACAAGTAAATATTTTATTGTCATCCCTAACATTATTAGTT